TAAATGTAGGCACTATTTTTCTTTTTGTTAAACATGGTAATACCTACCGTGTTTGTTTACCATGTGACAATATCAAATGTAAAGGCAACCCATCTCATTTGACAGACACTTGACCTTAACCTTGCGCGTTGTTGCACTTGACACTTAAACTTGTGCGTTATTTTTTGGTTTTCGAACCCTTTAACCGAACCGAAACCCCGGTTCAAAGACCAAAAAAACCGCTTTGACGAACCAATCCAAAAGCGCAAAAACGGTTCGAACCGCTGCACTGAACCGACCAAATTTTTCATCCGGTTCACGTCCCTGATAAAAATCCCGTGTCACTGCGTTCGTTTACGCTAATCTCCGAAACCGCTTAACCGAAATCCCGTGTCACTGTATTTGTTTACGCTAATCTCCGAAACCGCTTAACCAACTTCAATGAAAATATTTTTTTTTCATCGAAAGTTTTTCTATGCTTCTCGCAACGTTCTTAAAAACCCCGTGTCGCTATGTTCGTTTACGCTAACTACAAACTGTCCATATCCGAAGCGAGAGTTTTCCAATGTTATTTGCGGCTACGCTTCATATGTATGTTTATGTTGGGGAGAAATAGGTTGGATAGCAAGAAATAATGTAGTATGTATTTATACATATAAACATGTGCATATCAACAGAAAAACACACAACAAAAAATTTAACGTTTGGACACCATCCAATGTTATCCATTCCCCTGGCTGATGTTTTAACCGTAACCAGAGATCGTTTTTTTTCAAACGTAGTGAACAATAATAGAAATATTTTGCAAATTTCGATATCAAATAAAACATAAGAAACAATGTGGCTCTTCACACCGAGCACGGTATTCGGTAACTCGGTGTCCAGTAATTTTTTCTAAAGTATTTTGTTTGTGTAAAATAGTTTTACACAAACAAAATACATGGGAAAAAATTACCGAACACCGAGTTACCGAGTACCAAGCCTTGGTGTAAAGACCCTTAATATCTACAATGCATGTAACCTGCCTATGTATCAGTGTGTAACTAGTATATTTATAAAGGTCAACAATTTGAATAAAATTTTCTGGTGCCGAGATATCGTTAGTGGTTTGTTATAAGGTGTGCATTGACAATACTAAACAAATTTTTTTCCTAGGTGTAATTTTGAATTTAACGGTAGCTTAGCATATATCCTGTAATCAATACTTCTTAAGACGTATTTTGTATTATCGGAACGATTCCATATATATATAAACTAATTTTAATATCGCGCATTCATCGCATACAAGTTGTCGCAAAGAACTAAATGTATTTCGTTACAATTGTGGTAAATACCTACACAGTTAAAAGATTCCGAGTGCCTCTAAGAGGTTAAATATATTATACTTGAAATCCAAAATTTGGGATGAATACAAGCAGTGGATATCCCACACTTGTTTGCAAATGTGGTGTGAAAACATGGGACAGACTTAGGGCCGGTTGTTCAAAGTCTGGTTAACACTTATCTGCGGTTAAACATCGTTGTCGACGTCTTCGACTCCATGTATACAACAGGGTTAACCAGACATTGAGTAACCGGCCCTTAGAATTGGCTAGGAGGTCCTTAACGCATTCAGAGGAAGTACGTATTTAAAATCCATCAGTAGCGCATTATTAGAATAAATCTTTTAAAAAGTGAGTAGTGGCAGTAATTTGAAGGAATAGCGTCTACACTGCCAAAACCTTTTACCCAAAAAGAATTAAATGATTTGATAAGGGGTATAGTTACTGTGACTATTCGTACCGATTTTGGCGGGACAGTACCGATTTTGAGAAAATTGTCCCGCTGATTATTTTGTAAAAGTCGATTTTTCACATTTGTACCGATTAAGTCCCGATCTTTCAGTGTTTTCTTTATTAATTTAATAAGAGTATCCTTGTACTGTGGCCCAAAAACAATTTTTCGCACAAACATGGCAGTAGGTACTTTCGTTATCACAAACGACATAGAATATTATTATGTCAAACTAACGCTATATTACAGTCTATCATTCTTGTCACAGTTTGTTTTAGGTTTTTGTGATGATTTGTTAAGCTTTTTAATGAAACAATTCTAACTTGATTTTAGTGAAATTATAAAAAAAAGTACTAATTCCCTTAAAAATCATGGACATAAAAAATATAAGCTGTACATACAGTGGCGAAAATATAAATAGGGAAAAGATATTTTAGCATAATTTGGCTATTCCCCTTTCGATTATTTACAGCCGGTTTCACCAGTTTAAGTTGAAAATTATTTTTTTATTTTCTGTCAATTTCCATATAAAACCAATAAACTTAAATCATTTTTCAGTTAAATAGCTTTCGTGAAATTGGCTGTTAATGTTTATTATTTTTTTATGAAAGTGAAAGACTACGTAAGTCAAAATTTCAAATTTTGTACAAAAACTAGCAAAAATCGACAAGGTTTCATCAAAATTTTGAGCTTTTTAATGGAAGTATGGAAATTAATTAATTGTGATTTTCTGCAGTTAACAATTAATTAGTTTTTAATTGTTTTGTGGATTTTATTAAAAATAAACGGTTAAAAATTACTACTAAATATATAGGCCTGAGAGGTCTGCGTTAAGACATAGAGAATCTCGAATAAAACTGAGGAATGCTGAACTTTGGAGGGTATTGCTGTTAATCCCATCAAGACAGCCCTAGTCCTGTTTAAAGAAAATAAGCAAGACCTAGGGTCTGCGACCGGCTATGGTATTCCAGGTATATATAGTTTTAGCCCCGAACTCTGCTGTAGTATGGTGGCGCAGAACCATTCCTAAGTGCAGAATAGACCATATATGAAATTTCAGCTAATTTGTAGTATGGGAACTACTTTTGGACGCAGCTTACATATATGGCGAGGTCCCACTGTGCGTCGGCGATATCACCTTTGCCAGGCCTCTTGCAACGTTTAATTTAATAAGTAAAATTAGTTAATCAGGATGGATCAGACAATGGAATCATAAGCTGTATGTGCTTTACAACGACATGGACATAGTGCAGCGAATTAAAATACAGCGGCTCCGCTGGCTTGGCCATGTCGTTCGAATGGACTCCGACGCTCCAGCTCTGAAAGTATTCAACTCGGAACATGCTGGTGGTAGCAGAGGAAGAGGGAGGCGCCCACTGCGATGGAAAGACCAAGTGGAGAAGGACTTGGCCTCACTTGGCATTTCCAATTGGCGTTAGTTGGCACAGAAGAGAAACGACTGACGTGCTTCGTAGAATAAGAAGAAGAAGAAGTATCAGGATGATGGGTAGTACGCTTTCATATGTCCACTTCTTTCTTATATAACTACACCTTTCTAATATACAACAAATACTACATGTAGAATTTTCTATATCTTGTAATTTTTATTTCTGTATTTTTTTATTTATAAGTTAACTAATTGTTATTTTTAATTGGCACAATTTTAGTTGCAATTGGATTAATTGCAGTGTGCAATTACAACGTTAATTGAAATTAAAATTTTAGTTTAGTATCTAATGAATGTAATACATAAGGTACGAGTTTTGATCTAAAACTGGTTACAATGTCACGCGGACAACGGGTACAATTATCGATTTACTGATATGTAGGCACTTAGTCATCGAATTTTCATGTGCGGCGTTGGCAGGAAGGGAGAGTATGCGCTTAGAAAATCGCAGCTGGCAAACGTTTTATTTTATTCTTTTTTGTATCTAAAATTGGTTACAATGTATTGCACAAGCGGACAATTGGTCTGGGCCTAGGACATTCAATGTTAAACGCAGAGACCCAGAAAAATAATTATTTCATGGTGGAGTTGTAAAAAAGTCATCCAAATTTGCGTAAGAATTATAAAAGTCTTTTGATAATAATTATGTGTGAGAAAATTTTTTTAAGTCATCGATAACTATTATTTTAAGACTTATATAATAGAAGTCTTTTCATAATAATTATCAGCGAGATAAGTATTTTTAAGTCTTCAAATACTTTTATTTTGAGTCTTATATTATAAAAGTCTTTTGATAATAATTATGAGTGCGAAAAAATGTTGTATATAGTCCCGAACGGGTCCCAAACCAAGCCCCAACTGGTCCCCAACTAATCCTGAAATGCTCATGAACAAGTCCCGTCTTTTAAGACTGAAAAAATTTTTTCGCGCTCATAATTATTATGTGAAGGCTTTTATAATATAAGTCTTAAAATAAGTCTTTGAAAACTTAAAAATATTTATCTCAATGATAATTATTATATAAAACCTTTTATAATATAAGTCTTAGAAGACTTAAATATATTTATCTCTCTGATAATTATTATGAAAGGACTTTTATAATATAAGTCCTTGAACAATAATTATAGATAACTCGAAAAATATTTATCTTAATATAATGATCATTGATTGAATTTTATTCTTTTCACTTATAATAGTTATGTCTGATTATTTAAAATAAAAGGAAAACTCGGTGAACACTTGTAGCCGATTATGGACATTACATTTCAGTTCCAGACCACTTTGCCGTGGTGTCTCCTACTGGGCGGTTATTATGTCAGCAACGCTTTATGCTTACTGTTGGTCAGTACGAATATATATTACTACATTTTTCTCCACAATTTCTTTCTGTTACTATTATTTGTTTGTCTGTTGAATTTTTCTGCTGTTTTTCGGTTCGAAACGAGATGTAAATCAGCGTTGCCACAGACAAATTTTCCTACCATAACCAACCAAAACCTACCAAACATTTTTTTGAGTTTTACTATTTGTTTTCAATGTCAAATTTTTTAAAAACATAGTTAACATAACATTTAGAAAAACTAAAACACAACTAGATTATTAAAAACAAATTAACTGCTTATAACGATTCATTCTACTGTACAGACTTATCCATATGTACATATGTATCTTTACACATACATACATATCGTCACTAGATACGAATATAGACGCGAGCTCAAAAGTTGATAGCGAAAAAAGAGGCGTAAAAAAATTTCGGCGAAGAAAGACTCTTAACATAGGTGACGGCAAATAAAGCCACGTTAACCTCTTTGACAGTGAAGAAAGACCCAAAAACTTATGTCCGCGGTCAACTATATTTTCGAGTGCAACAGTATTCCCCAGAACTCCCCAAAGAGTTTTTCCGAGCTCTTTATTCGTGTCTAGTGACGATATTATTATTATTACGTCGCAGATACCTTCGCTGTGACCCAAGAAGATATATTGTGCTAAATCCAAATTGTAATCACTCCAACCTTAGGCTTTTTAAAAAGCTCAGCACTTTGGATGAGGCTATGTTCCAAATTTAAGATGGAGGAGGCATTCGTTCTCCAAGGTGTATCAATCTACGATTCATACTTCGTCGACAGGCACATAGAATATACTCTGGGGTTTCTTTCACCAGCCGACAAACCCTACAGTCAATCTCTACAGACCCATTTAGTTGAAACCGTACGTTAACTTGCAGTGTGCTGTCAGGTTGGCAGTAAGAGTTCTAAGTTCAAGGTGTCTTTCGGAGATCCTGCTGGAAAGAGTTATGCATATCTTCGATTGTCTTATTGCCTTTGACTTCCGCCAGTGGGCAGCAATTTGATATTATTCCCAGTTAGCTCCTAAGTAGGTCTGCAGTGTATCCTTTAGATGTACCGCAGAAAGGCTAGGGACCATGCAAACCCATTTGCGCTTCACGCTTTGCAAGTCAGTCAGCCCTTTCGTTGCCTTCAAACCCTTCCTGCGTGACGCTATTGTGGGCTCGCAGGTGCTTCAAGAGTTTACAAGCCTTGAAAAGACTCTTAGGCCTTTAACGCTGCCTNATATTATTCCCAGTTAGCTCCTAAGTAGGTCTGCAGTGTATCCTTTAGATGTACCGCAGAAAGGCTAGGGACCATGCAAACCCATTTGCGCTTCACGCTTTGCAAGTCAGTCAGCCCTTTCGTTGCCTTCAAACCCTTCCTGCGTGACGCTATTGTGGGCTCGCAGGTGCTTCAAGAGTTTACAAGCCTTGAAAAGACTCTTAGGCCTTTAACGCTGCCTGAATTTCCGACATAATATTTATTCTGGCCTCATTTGCCTTCTATGATGACATTCGCGCAAACAGACTTCGATTGGGAAGACCTCCGCCTGAAATATGGTTGAGTACGAGCCCACTGGCAGACTTTTCTGAAATCTGGGTCCAAGTACGCCATAAATTATATCGCTACCTAAATGTGAAAAGGTGCCAAGTCCATTTTTTTTTCAAAGATTAGTTTTTGATGCAGAATGACAGGTAATACGAAACTACATCGATTTTTCGTCTGTCTTGAAAAATTTCAAAAAATTGACTTGGCACCTTTTCACCCTTAGGTGACGATATATGGATGTCCGTATTGCATATTGGCAATAATCACGGTGCAGCGAACAAAGGTGGCGCCGTCAGTGGTACCGCTACTTTGGTTTTGCCGATTTTGACACTTGTGGTAACTTGTAAATAAACCTTTGTTTACAAATCAGCGAAAGAGAAATTTGAATTATAAGTGAAAAATCAGTTTAAATTGTGTTAATTTGCAATTTGTGAGTGATTTTTGAGTTGAAGACTGCGTAAAAACTAATACAATGAAGTGATGTGTGTTAAATTGCGACAGCCGTCAAGATGCAAGAAGCGTAGATGCTAGTGTAGCGCTGGAACGAATCACTGCATCTTGTGTACATAGGGCACGGCAAAGCCGTTCTCAAAATGTTTCTTTATTATTACATTAACAGCCTTTCCTCACAATGATTTTGCTTCTGCTCCAAGCAGCCTCCATTAGCAAGTTAACCAATCAATCCCGCTGAGATGCCGCAGTTTTCTGCAGCAGCCTTAATTGCAAAGCAATGGAGTGCACTAAAACGTTTACTGAAGCAGCTTGCACAGTTGTTGGCTTTCGCACAACATACCAAATGGCCGAAAATTTCTAAAATCGCTCAATAACCACGCCTACTTCCCATATAACGGTAATTTTCAGAAATACGAAAACTGCGATATTTTAGTAACTACTGGAGATAGTTCACTCAAAATTGATATTTACAATAATTTTTAGACGAACAAAAAGAATATTATAAATTTTTTGAAAATGGGAGTAGCCACGCCCACTTATGGTTACATGTGTATATCTTGGTAACCGCTGCACCAATTTCTTCCAAACTTGGCACAGTTGCTGGCCTTGGTACAGCATAAAAAATCGCCGAAACTTTTTAAAATCGGACAATAACCACGCCCACATCCCATATGACGGTAATTTAGAGAAATACAAAATCTTCGATAAATCAGTAAAT